ACCAAAAATATGTCATTAATACACAAAATCAAATAATCTCCAAAATTTCCTTAATTGCATTAATTTTAAAAATAATACTCTGAAAAATGAGTTCCAGATCACAGCCATCTTAGATTCCACCATTACAGACATATCAATTTAAATAGTGAGATATGGCTTGATATTTTATAAGCAGATACTGAATGAGGAGGAAGAAATGTTCTTCATGTGCTATAAATGGCACTCCAATTTTACCTCCACTTCATTGTTCACCGCCAAGATGATTCCATATATTATTATCATTCAAAGTTATAATTCACCACAAATCATTCTATCATGTCATGTAAATCAAATTCTCCCAGCATAAGTTTTCTTCAGTTTCATCAAAAATAATCTTTATCCTGTAATATCATATTTAATGTACAAACTATTCCTCCTTGTTTCCTAGCATCCTCTATAAGATTTACTATCTTAATTGTGGCTTCTTAGTCTTCTGCATCTCTACTGTTCCAAAGCCCTTACACCATGAAAAGGAAATAAAGCAACCTCATCTCAGGTAGCACAACTACAGCACAATAATATAATACAAAAACTACATGAGGCAAATACAGACATCGTTTTTTTTAATTACACAGACAAAAGTTAGCTCAGACTCTATAAAATTAAAAATCTCATTCATAGAGTTTTGGCTTATTAGAACTAGATAGGATCTTGGAGAGAATCTCACTCCCTCATTTCAAAGTTTAGGAAACTGAAGACCAAAATGGTGATGCGACTTGTTCCAAAGTCCTAACTATGTTCAGTTAGCAGGAAAGTTGGGACCCAAGCCCCAATCTCCTGACTCCACACCCAAGGCTCCTGACATTCTGCTTCCATTGATTTTTAGAGAACTAGAGCAACAAAGAAACACAATCTTCTCAAAAATAAGCTGATAAAAGGCTGTCTACAATTCCATGCAAGATTCAGTGTTCCAAAGAAATTCTTACTAAAAAAAAAAATTATTCCTCCTAAAAAATGAGACAGAAATGTGATTTTGTACTTTCTATGGTACAATGAAATATGAAAGCAAAGAATATCTTTAGCCTATTCCAGACTGAAAGGATTTGCTTTAAATCTATTTTTCCTACATATTGATGAAAACTGACCAAGGTTATAAAAGAGAGTAAATCTTTTCCATACTACAAAAGCTTCCAAGACAAACAAGAGGAAATGTTATTAAAAATAACCGTACCATCAGTAGTAGCTTGAACTTCACTTCAATAACTAAAATATAACACTCTCCCAGTACTTCTACCTTGCCCTCGAAAAGTCAAACAAAACAAGGACTTCATGTGGAACCAAAAGCAAAATGGTTCAAGGCAATAAAGCCTTGCAATAAAACTGCATCTTTCTAGAAATATGAGAGTTAAAAAGCCCTTTTAATCCATATTCAGTCTGTCTCGGCTCCAGCGATCTAAAATTCCCAGAAGGGATCACTAATCACTAATAAAGACAAATAAGAATGCTAATTTGGGACAATGAAAAATAAGGTAGGTTTGAGGTTTTGTGTTTTTCGTTTTGGGTGGAGGTAAGGATGGGCAACAGTGAGGGGAGTCCTATTTATTTACTTTTAAAATACACGAGTCTGGCCAAAGAAGAACAAAATAATATTTATACACTTGCGCTGTCTGCTATCCACCCAAATGGTATAAAGAATATATGCTTAGTAAAGTTCATATTTACTCATAACTTATACAAACAAGTATACCCAAAGAATTTATTCATATCAATAAAAATGTATATATCCATAAAATAACAAAAACCACAGATTTGCATGAAGAACTTGCTATGGTTGCTGAGTATTTTTCCTCAAAGAGATAGTTTAATAAATGGTAACATCAAGATTTTAAAGACAGAAATTGTACCTATGTTTAAGAGGAAATGTTACATCAATTAGGATAAGGTCAATAACAACATAAAACAAAGCGTATTCAAAATCATTTGTTTTTCTCACTTTCTAAACAGGTTAAGAAGTTGAGTTTGTATTGATTGATTGTACTTGATCATCTTACCCTAGCGTAGTATGACAAAATTAGTTAACTACTTCATATTTCAAGTACTGGTTGACTTTCAAATGTCTCAGAAAAAAGAATATCTTAACATACAGGGGAAAAAAACAATGAGAAATTAAACAGGTCAAGCCTTGGTTTCCCCAATCCAACCTGCTCAATCACGTTTTGTATCCACCTACATTTAGCAAAATGCTCACCAAATTAACTGTTCTTTATTACAACAAAATTGTGTGCATTTGGTTAGTTTCTTTGACTATATCTGCTGTGACATTAAACCAACTTAAATGGATTGCAAATCTTTAAGGAAGGAATACAATTTAGAATTAAGCTTTCTCTTTTGATGGGTATACATGGGTGACATGGAATAAATTTAGCATGTAAAGCAGATGTTATGTATTAACCACATTTACAGGGACTTACTGCAATGGAAAGAGATAACTGAATGTTTTAAAAAATAATAAAAGCTATTTTTCTACTAAGAACTATTATAAAATCAAAGTTAAATTGAAGCAGAACTGTGAGACAGCTGGCATTAAAGCATAAGAAATTACTTAATGGTTCTCTTTACAGAATAAGTTGTCATCCTGCCTGTTAATTAAACTGTTTTAAAAGCACAGTATGGTAACTGTTGTAGCATATACAACATAAAATAACAGATAATAGTCCCTCTCTTCTGGGTTATCTATTCTTCCTCCTTTTGCTATACAAATTCAGAATCTATGATGATTCTGTCTAATCTTTATTATCTGTGGAAAAGGGAGTCTGCAGAACAAAGTATAAACAATAGAAATATTTAGCCTTTTTAGGGTAAAGTATTTATGTGAAAGTTCTAATTATAAATTATTCTTATCTATCTACATGTAACATGCCATCTTTAATATACTGAAAATGATGTCAAGGTCAGAAAGATATATTTTTATTTATTCTTCCTAGTACTAATGATGGGTGTGTGCTGTTTAAATCACACTTTTTCAGTAGTCTATACCAGGATAAACAGTACACGTGAATAAGACAGCCATAAGTGAGTCTGTGACCATGACATAAAACAAACCTAACTGGCTCATTCAAGGATCAAAACTGTAACCTTAACTTCATTAGAGGTAAGCTATAATCAAATGAGCTAGCACAGGGGTGTGGAACCTGTGGCCTTAAGGCCACATGTGGCCTTCTAGGTCCTTAAGAGCAGCCTTTTGACAGAATCCAAATGTTATAGAACAAATTCTTTTATTTTTATTAATATATTTTGTCTTTTACATTTATGTTTTATTTTTAAAATGAACGATATTCATGCAAATAAAACATGGCATCATCAGTTTCATAACATGCTAAAGGTGGACGATGAGGTATTCAGTGTGGATTTGCCATATCATTCTAAAATGTGTTGGCTATCAGAGACAGATGTTAGTCAAAATTTTATCTCTGTGAAAACATATAGTTAAATTTTATGAAGAACAAAATCAGCAATGTGAATTATTAAAAGATTTCTACAGGAATGCTGCACTTCTGCATGACATCATGTCAAGTCAAAACGACTTGAATATTTCTTTGACAAGTAAAACTAAGTCAATATATGATATGTGCCAAAAAAAAAAAAAATCCAAGCATTTCAAAAAAAGCTATCTTTTTTCAAAACACTTCTTCAAAAGAAAATTTTGGATAAACATTTCCCCCAGTTAGCAAGGGTCACTGATGAGCAGGATGATATATGGGAATCATTTGAAGAACACGTAGCTATTACAGACCTACACAATGAAAAGTTCACTGACTTTGAGAATCATTAACATCATACTCAAATTAGCATTTCAGCCTCACTTAGATGATATCACCAAGGCATCTAAAGAACTACAGATAAAATTGATTGAGCTCTCAGTAGATGACATTTTAGTCATTGTTTGATGCTAAGAAAGATCCGATTGAAATATGGAAAAATGCAATAGAATACCCACACCTTTGGCAACATGTCTGAAAAAGGTTTTCTTGCTTTTCAACCACTTATTGCTGCAAATCTACATTTTCCTTCCTAACCCAAATCAAGATACCCTTAAGGTCACAAATGACTGATACCCATCTAGAGGATCAACTGAAACTGCAGACCTCCATGCTGCAACCAAATATTTAAATGCTTTCCAACCAAAAGCAGATACAACAAAGTCATTAAAAGGTTAATTAACTTTAAAATTAACAAAATTTTCATTTTTTGAAATTATTAAGTACACAGTAGTTCAATTTTTACAAAATAATGTACATTGTTAGGTATATCTAATTGAAGTTTCTTGAATGTGGTCTTATTTGATTATAAGCTAAATATTAATGCAGTCTTCCAACATGAAAAGGTTTCCAACCCTTAGGCTAGCATATTGTACTTGAAAGTAATAAAATCACAATTCTTTGAAAAAAGTTCCAGAACTCCAGTTTTTTTCAGAACTCAATGACTTTCTTCCAATTAAAACAAATTAGTGGGATTTTACTATGATTGCATTTTTAAAATTATATAAGAGAGTTCATGGGATTTTTCCACACATTTTCTTAAATGTAGCTTAAATTTATAACATCTTCTAAAAATCAACATGTTCTATTCAAGTGACATATTAATATTAGTTAATTTTTCATCTAATCAACTTAAGGATTAAGAGGAACTGCAAAACAAAAATACTTCAACTGGAAATAATCAAGTTAAATATAAAAGTTTAATTATGCTTTTATCTTTAAGAATACCACTGTATTTTGGAATTATCTTTTATTTTTTACCAACTTATTTAATAAATATACTAGCTAAGTTTAAAATGACCCCAAAAGCTTATCTTATCATTTAAAAAAATAACTAGATTGCCACAGGTAATTACTTTATCCAAAAAATAAATTCCCCTCAAAAATCATCCCTAATCAGTAGACCATTCACTTTCCATGATGCTTAACCCCACTCTTAATTACATCAGATAATTTCTACACTGGGAACCATGGATTACTTACTTGTTAAAAAAAGGTTCAATGAGTTTTGATCTGGCAGACACATGAATTTTTGGAGGACTGAGAAAAGAACCTAATTAAAAAAAAAAGAGGCAAGACATTATAAATTATTATGTACATGAGGTTTGAAAATTCAGGTAAAAACATACACATACACACAGACACACAGACACACACACACACACACACATTAACAAACAAGTTTGACAGGGGACGAAAGTACTCATAAGAACCAAGTTCCACACTGAATGAAGGACTCAGGGAGGGGAAAATTACTCCATTCCCTGCCCAGAAGTTCTCCCACATAGCTTCCCTTTCTACTCTGACTTCCACCTCATACACCCTCCCACCTCCAAATGAGTGAGTCATAAGAAAAGGTAGACAGGTAAGTCCCCCCCCCAAATTATATGAATTCTTGACATTGCCATGTATATACTACCTAGGAAATTAGACATGGAGATGAAACACAGTCCTGTAATGTATGCATCATAGCCTGCCTCGTGGAGCTGTTCAGATGCAGTATCATAACTTGGAAATCCTTCTGCACTTTCTAAAAGGAAAGAAAAAAAAAAAAGGTTTTCCCAAGGGTGCCATGAAATATAATGATGCCTTCTTTGTACACTGAACTCCATCATGTTAATAATCTCTACAGAAATATCCTGTGTGACCATAAAATCATGTCTAAAAAAATCATTTCAGTAAAAAAAAAAAAATATTTCAGTAGTTTAAATATTTCCTATTTTCTCCCACAGCCCAAGACTTACTTTGATATGGTTAATATGCTTCCTGACAAGAGCTGCTATCTTTAGCAATGTCAAATGCCTTACCTACATAATAATATTAACTTTATCAAACATCAAAGATTTTAGAAGAGTATCTAATTTTCAAATATTTCAGTTTTATAAGCCTTAGAACTCAGAAAGTACACCTTCACCTGATTTTAATGGTTAATACCTTAAAAACTGCAAAACTTACCCTCCCCAAAGTAGAAGCCAAATTTCTAATACTGCCAACCTATAAGTACCCTAATGCTAAAAATTCTATTTCTGAAACCATTCCAAATTCATGAAAAGATTTCTTACCTTAAAAGATTACATTAACAAGTAGAACCCAATCTAACAGGACTGAACTCGCTGAAAAGTTAGACTAACGGCTCAGGCTCAGAACATTTCCCAGGGAATTTCTGTACTATATCTTCAAATTTAAGCAACAAAATGTAAAAGCACAACTGAATCCAAAACAATACCAAATCCTCAGAATAATGTTATCTGTCCTTAGGGTCAATACTATGGAACTATCTTACTGACAAGGCCAACTCAAAGACCTTTTACTATTATATTATACTTAGTTATCCTGGAGTTGAAAGAGGTGGGGAAGGAGGGAGTAATTAAACCTATTTAGATGTAGTCTACTTGAGACAGTCCTGCCCTACACTGTGAAAACAGGCATAGCAAAGTTCCAACATGCAAGCATAAAATAACACAAAAAAATAGATATAGCAGAGTTTGACAAATCAGTACAGTATTCTCCTGATCATTTAAGATAAAAGCCAGGAAAGCTGCAATATTAAAATCAAATAATGAATATAAGTAATAGTTTAAAAAAAAAAAAGTATTTCGGGGAAGCTAAGTGGCACAGTGGATAGAGCTTCAGCCTCGGAGTCAGGAGGACCTGAGTTCAAATCTGGTCTCAGACACTTGACAACTTACTAGCTGTGTGACCCTGGGCAAGTCACTTAACCCTGATTACCTCACCAAAAAAAACCAAAAAAAGGCATTTTTACATAAATACAATGTTCATCACAGAGAATTTCCTAACCACCAAAAGATAATAAATAAGAATACTTTAAGCTTGAAACTTTTGTCTTTCCAAAAATGTTCCTTATCTACATAACTTAATTCCTTAAATCTCCTACCAGCTGTTTCATTCACACATACACACACATTTTTCAAAGTCATTCATTAGGAATAATCTAAATTTCTTTCTTTTATCCCCTTTCACTTGAGCTAATTATCCAGAATGAAAAACAATTAACTATAATCTAGGATGTTTAAAATTCTATGCTTCGAAAGTTATAAAGCATTAATCTATAATTGATGACTTGAAATTTTCAGTTAAAACTACAGGAATCTAGGGGCAGCTAGGTGGCACAGTAGATAGAGCACCAGCCCTGGAGTCTGGAAGACCTCAGTTCAAATTCAGCCTCAGATACGTTAACTGCAACTGCTTCACAAAAAAAAACAACAACAACAACAAAAAAAACACCCCACACACAAAAAACCAAAACAAAACAGGAGGAATCTAATGAAATATCTCTGGAGCACATAACAATGACACAATTAGGCCAATGTAAACAAATTATGTATACAGTTTGAAAAAGAGAAAAAGGAACTCAGCACAGGGTTATAGATCAGATGGAGTAAAACCAAACGTTTCTCAGTCTGGAAGCATTCCTCCCTATGTTCAGTTTTCTCAATTGCTACCTTGATTACTTGCCCTGCTTCCATTCCCATACCAGGTTAACAGAGAATATGGGGATTTCCATTCCTCCCAGTCCAGAGGCACAGTTCTCAAACTTGCCAAGGGCACAAAAAAATTACAGTGTTGGTGCTTAACTATAAACAGTTATCTCTTTAGATTAAAAGGATATGTCTCGAAGAAAAAAAAATCCCTTTTATTATTGGAAAAATGCCACCAGTGTCAAGTGATGATATATGTTTGAATTATGTTGCTCCTCAATGATCAAGCTATCCAACTAAGAACACATTTAAACAGGATACAGACATGGTTAATCAGAAACCAGCAATACAAACAATGTTGGCCATTAGCTAGTGAATTCCACGACAACTTCCACTCATTAAAGAGTATATCAATAAAGTTTATTAATTCATAATCAAAAGGCTTCACTGCCTTAAACTCTTACCAACTTTAGGAGGGCTGAATGGTGCCTCTTTTAATCGCTTTTCCAGTTCTGCAAGGGATGTGTTGTTAATAATATCCTGCAAAGAACAAGCAATTACTATATATTGTATTGGATAACTATATTTGATGATAGTTAACTACTAAATACAATGAATACTGTCACCTTATGTCCTTTAGTGACATAAGGATGTCAAAGTTTACCAAATATGCTAAGCAGGAAGGTTTTATATTTAGTACGTCAGATATAGCTATGATCAGAATAGGTCTTTTCTGGATGAATCTATTTCTACAGTACTGTAGTAGGTAATGGTTTGGCAAAACTATGCCTTTGCCACAATACTTCATCATTTCAATTATATGATAGGCACTTGAAAAATGTCAAATGGTCACAAAAATACCTCAGTTACAAAAGGTATCAATTTTTTTAAACAGGAAAATTGTGAAAAATTGGCAATCATAACTCAGATTTGGAAATTACCTTAAAAGGTTGTGTGCTTGCCATCAGTTTAGTATCCAGTAACCTAAAATTTAAAAATGGTCAAAATGTAAACAAAATGTAATTGATATCAAAAAAATTAATTTATTACTTATTTGGATATGATCCTCTCAAAGTTAAAAAAAAATAAAGGCTAGTGTTGCCAAATGCAATGAAGAGAACTTTCTCTAATCTTCAGATTAAAAGGTGTATTCCAGTTATGTTAATATAAATATGTTAGAAACTTATTGTATTTTACTAAACAGTTCACAGTAGCAATGCAAACAGAGGTATTTGTTGGAAGAGTCCTGCCTCTGTAGTGTTACTTCTAGCAGTGAACTGACATATTCCTCTGCTACCAAAATGCAGAGTACAATGATTCAATCTAAGTTAATTCAACAAACATGCATGAGGTGTCTGTTATGTGCAAAGCACCACTTTAAGAGCCAATGACACAAAGAAAAACAAAATAAAAAAAGTTCCTGCCCTTAAAGAACTTATACCATACTAAAAGATGCAATATGTGTACATATTTGTAAATATAAGATAATGTGATGATGGAGAGCAGACTTATACATAGGAGGATCAGCAAAGGTGGCACATGGGGAATCAGGGGTAGGAGTTGGGGGAAAAAAAACAACCTTTATTAAGAACCTTTAATGTGCCAGGCATTGTGCTAAGTACTTTAAATACACTATCTCTTTTGATCTTCACAACAACTCCATGAGGTAGGTTTTGAACTTTGAATCAAGGATAAGGACTGCAAGAGGGAGAATGGAAGAGGGCACATTTTCCAAGCATGGGGCAAAGACATGGAAGTAAGAAATCAAATGGACAATTCAAAGAGCTCATGACAAAACAACGGATAAAGAGGATCACAGAAAATAAAAGACAATGACAATTACATAAAACTAAAAAATTTTTGCACAAAATCAATATAGCTAAAATTAGAAGGGAAATAGTTACTGTGAAAAAATCTTTGTGGCAAGTTTCTCTGATAAAGTTCTCAGTTCCAAGATATGTAGATATTGAAAGGCATAAGGAGAGCCATTCCCCATTTGATAAATGCTCAAAAGCTATGAACAGTTAGTTTTCAAAGGAAGACACTCAAGCTATGAATAGCAATGTAAAAATTGCTCCAAATCATTAATAAATAGAAAAATGGAAATTGGCAAAAATGGCAAAAAAGGAAAATTAAATTGTTGGGAAGGATTATGAGAAAACAGGCACCCAAATGCACTGAGTTGTGAACCAGTTCAACCATTTTGGAAATATCTGATACCATATCCAAAAAGTCTCCTAACCATGAATATCCTTTGACTCACTGATACCTCTAATATATCTAGACTTCAAAGAGATCAAAGAAAAAGGAAAAGGACATATATGTATTACTTAAAATATTTACAATCACTTTTTCTGTAGAAGCAAAGAATTAGAGACAGAAGAGTTACCATCAATTGGGGAACAGCTGAACATATTACAGTGTATTACTGCAATAGAATAATATTTTGTTGTAAAATGATGAAAGGGATATGAGTTCAAAAAAGCCTGGGAAAATTTGTATGAACTGATACAGTGAAGTGACCATAATCAGGAGAACAATTTATTCAGTAACAACACTGTAAAGACAAAACCTTTGAAAGACTTAAGAACTTTAACCAAAGCAATAACCAACCATGATTCCCAAGGGCTAATAATGATGAATTATGCTACCTACCTGACAGAGGGGTGATGGACTCAAGATGCACAATGAAACGTGTTTTTTAGGCATTGACAATGTCTAAAATTTGTTTTGACTATGCATACTTGTTGCAAATGTTTTTATTTTTTTTTTAATTAAGGGAAGATTGGGAAGGATTGAAAATAAATGCTTGTTGGGGCAGCTAGGTGGCGCAGTGCACAGAGCTCCAGCCTTAGAGTGAGGAGGACCTGAGTTCAAATCTGACCTCAGACACTTGACACTTAACTAGCTGTGTGACCCTGGGCAAGTCACTTAACCCCAAATGCCTCACCAAAAAACAAAACAAAAAAAAAAGAAAATAAATGCTTGTTAACTGGAAACAATTTATTTTTTTTAAATGGACAGTTCAGGGAAGACCAAGTAGGTCAGTTTGGGTGTATTATAGATTGTACAAAGGGGAGTAATGTACTTACTAGAGATGTAGGCTGGAACCAGAATGCAAAGGGCTTTAAACAGCAATCTGAGGGTTCATATATTTTTTAATCTTCTTCAGATATTTTCAAGGACAGAATATTCTCACACTATTATATAATTTCCACCATTAACTGTTACTACTCAACTTTTAAGTTTGAATTCCTATATTCACGAATAACATTAAAGATCTGTGATACTTTATCACTATAGTGCTATATGGATGAGAAATTTAAAAAATTAACTAGTGTAACATAAAAACTTACTGTTTTCCACCACAGAAAAATAATTTCAGTGTATAAGGTACAGGAATAGCATACCTAGAGCAGGTTGGCTCCATTAAAGTCTCTCCCAGTCCTCAGACAGTGTTAGGTCTGAGTTTCATCTTATAGAAAACATCTGAATTCTCTGTGGTAAATATCTGACCTGACATTTCCAGAAGTAAAAATCAACTTTAATTGTTCCAAGGCACTAAAATCTGAAGGCAATGAATTTAAGAGCTAAAAACACTTGCTCTTAGATCTTGCCTCTCTACAAAGTACTCTATACAGACTATTCAATATTTATAAGATTCAATAATTTTATAAGAAATCACCATCTCAGCAAATTTCCTCAGTTCTTTTCATTTTAGAATGCATATGAAGAGACAGAGAAAAAGGCAAAATACCCTCTTGCACCCTGGATTCAGTGCCAACACCCAAGCTGTCTTATTTTGAGAATTCTTAAAAAGGAATTCCAAAAATAATCACAAAGCTAAAATTTTGAAACCATCAGTAAATAACGCAGAAGGGATAAGAGTCTATCAACCTTTTCTTCCAGCTCACAGTCCCATGAAATTACAGCATACATATAGTACAACCCCAAATATAATATATCTGTGGCAAATGCTATTTCACGTGAGAGATAACAGTGAAAAGAAAGCTTACCTGGGGAAGACACATGTTGTTACCTCCTTAAATTCATTTAAGTCCTAAAACGCAAAACATTAACTCATTATAGCTAGATTGACACATTCTATATTCATAACCATAAATTGTTACGTTCAATACGAAAAATTCAATATCCAGAAACAACACAGGGCTTTGTCCTTTCTGTGGGAATGTTTCCAGAAACTTTCCAAATGAACTGTGGCACTTCAGAAAGGCATTCTAAAGTAAAAAACTTTAAGATCTACTTCTGAGATTTTATTTCATTTCCTTTGAAAACTCAAAATTCGAACAACAATGTGTGCTTACAAAACAATAGTACCAATGAAAAACTGTTGAACTAATTAATCATACAAAAAAACTCTGATGTTTCTGAAAAAATACATAAAGTTATATTCTTCTATAGGCCCATAGCTAAAGTAGCAAAGCATCCTGAGAGAAAGACAGGGAGCAGCATGTGACAGGCCAGTCCAACCCTCACCCTTGACCACAATTTCCCCCCCCTCAGACACTGATGAAGACAGCCCAGGATGCTCAACCCAAGAACCTAAGGAATGGTAATGTTTCTGGTAGAATGCCTACAGTCATCCTGGGAAACATCCTCTGTGGAGATTCAGCCTGGCAACTGCTCCTGCAGGTGCTATAGCTACAGTTACTGAAGACTCAGAAAAGAAAGTTCTTGCTATCAAAATCTTTGTCAAATGGTTCAACATCAGAAACTGGTATGATTTTATCAGTGGAAATAATATTAAAGAAGAAACATTAACATTTGCTTTGTTGCTGAACTCTGAAGACCATGGCACCTTTTCATCTGGCTTGCAACTGAAACCTACTGTAAGTGTTGTCTTCCCATTAGAAAGTGAGGTCCCTGAGAGTATGGACTGTTTTATTTTTCTATTTATATCCCTAGCACTTGGCACAATGCTTTGCACATAGTAAGCACTTTGTTTATTCATTCATTCTAGATACTTTCATGTAACCAAGAAATCTAATTCTAGTAAGAGGTAACACCTTGTGCTTTCATATAAGACCAAGTACATTAAGATAATGAACTTACATCAGCTGTATCTAAGTTATCAAAAAAAAAACAAAACCCTGATTCAGCAAACAGACATACTAAAAAACAGGGTAAGCACTTAGTAAGCATACAAATACCTCTTTAAGATACTTGTTAAAGTTAGGCATGTAAAAACATAGTATCTCCAACTATTCAGGCTACCCTGACAATTATGAAAGCAACATTATTAGGCTAGGGCTAAAATTAGACATTTCTCCAGCAATCTCTCTGTTAACCTCCTCTCTCCCATTTCCAATTGCCCTTCAGATATTGCAAACTGGATGTCCTGTAGACAATTTAAACTCAACATGTCCAAAAAAGAACTCATTATTATAATGTTTCCCCCTAAACTCTCTCTTCTCTTACATTCCCTATTATTGCAGAGAACACTATCCTCCCAGTCCTTCAGGCTAGTAACCCAGGAGTCATCTTGAACTCAAGAATCACTCTCACCCCATATCCAAAATCTCTTGTACAAGGCCTTTCAATTTCACCTTCGCAGTATCTCTCCAATACTCCCCATTCTCTCCTCTAACAGTGCCACTGCTCTAGTGCAGGCTCTCATCACCTCACATGCAGTTTATTACAACAGCCTGCTCATAGGTCTGCTTCATATTTCTCCCCACTCCAATCCATCCTCCACTCAGCCACCAAAGTGATTTTCCCAAAGCACAGGTCTGATCATGTCACCCTCTACTCAATAAACTTCCGTGGTTCCCTATTGCCTCCAGGTGCAAATACAAAATGTTCTATTGGGCATTCAAAGCCCTTCATAACCTAGCTTCCTCTTATCTTTTCCAGTTTTCTCACACCTTACTCTCTACCATGTAATCTTTGATCTAGTGATACTGGCCTCTAGGCTGTTTCAGCAACAAGACACCAGTCTCTCGGCTAGGGGCATTTTCTCTGGCTATTCCCCCATGCCTGAAATGCTCTCCCTCCTCAACTAGGTCTCCTGACTCTCCTGGCTTTTCTTTCTTAAAGTGCCAACTAAAAGTCTCATCTTTTACAGGAAACCTTTCCCAATCTCTCTTAATTCTAGTGCCTTTCCTCTATATTTATCCTGTATATGTTGCTTTATATTTGTTTGCATGTTTTCTCCTCCATTTGATGGTGAGCTCCTTGAGGGCAGGGAATATCTGGCACCAGGACCCAGGTTTGAACGCTTGGTGATCTACTACTCCAAGCTGTATCCCAGAAAAGGACATGAGATTAGGTAAGTACAAATGGAAATGAACCTGTACGTAATTAGTAAAGAGATGAAGGATCCTTCAGAAGGAATGCTACTAACAGCAATATTCATTTATGTTCTAAAACTACTATAGTTTTCTCGATGATAACATGTTGGGAATATTTTAGAAGGAACACTTCTTCCAGCATGAGTCGGACTAAAAGACAGTAATGATTCTGTAATTAGTATTATGACTGTAATAGAGAGCAGAATTCTATATAAGGTCTTATCTACTCTCTAATCAGATACCAAAAAGATTTCATTATGAGACAGTTTCCTAGAAAAAAGTTTCAACGACAAAGATCCCAAATAAAGTATGGAGCATATGGCTCTAAAATAACTAGGAAATTAATACTACTGGCTTGCATTTACATAGTACTTTAAGGTTTACAATATACTTTCCTCACAAAAACCTTGTGCCATAAGTTGTTACAAGTATAACTCTCCTCATTTTAGATAGGAGAAGCTTGAGGTTCCAAGAAATTACTAAAAACTCTTTTTCTTCTTGGGAGCTCATTTTATTTCAGACATTACTCTATTTATTCTCATGATTTCCTTCTTAGGTAGGAACAGAGGAACTATCAGCAACATCTGACAGAAAGAAATAAACAAGCAGATTGACTTGCTCAGAGATATGAAACAATAGAGTCAGAACCAAACTCAATTATTCTAAATACTTAATCTATAAAACCTAGTGTTCTTTTAAGTATTATCTGATGCCAGATTAGAGTAATTAAATTCCTTCACCCAGAAAAATATTTGAATATCTATGTCCAAGGTAGGTTAATACACAGCCCACTAAATCAGTCACAATATACTGGGGACAGAAACAGCAGATGAACAATGAGCAGTTCTAAGAAACAACTAAGAGGAAAAGAGTGGGCTCAATCACCCTTAAGAAAATGCACCATGGGGGGCCTCCCAGCCTTGCTCATAAAGCCAATCAGGGAGACAGAGGGTTGTGGCTCTGGCATCCCTGGGACCCTGGTGCCTACTATTATGATGAATGTCTTCCAGGGAGTCACTGGCATCTTTATTCTATCCTTCATCTCCAAAGATCTGAATTGGGATATTATCAGCACCATGATGGTGACTTATACGTCGTCCAGCTATCTCTTTTGGTTGATCGCTTTTCTGGACTAGCTCAACTCTCTCTTTGGATCACAATTAAAAAATGAAACTATCTGCTATCTTAATTATCACTTACTGGTCTTGAGGAAGAAGACAATCTATGCAATTCTCATCTAGGTAAGAAAGAAAAATATTCTAGATGTTAAAGCACATGCTAATCTGAAGACTGAAAACATCTGTTTGGAAAACAGCTGCCTTAAGCATTTACCCTCTAGATAAGTTTTTGCCTCATTCTAAAGTTCAGTATTTTCTCCTTCCATATCTTTTTCTAATTACTCATTCTCAAACTGCACGCCAAGTTTACCTGAAGTATATGTCTAATACCTGAAAATGCTTGTACTTTTATGATTCAAAAGGATACTGCTTTAATGAGATACAGATTACTCTCTTTCCCCCTGGGAATCTAAAGACATGAAGTTGGGTTCTCCCCTCTTCTCCCATTATTTGCACCAAAAACAAATAATGTATTTAAGTTGAATGAATGGCTACAGTTTGGGAATCACAAAGAGATAGTGTTCAGAGGAAAAACTTTTACTAATGATGTTGAAACTGTAACAAGCTGTATTTTCCCCAAAAGTTCATCTTAAATTTGTCTCCTTTGGGTATTTCCCCCCCACTTTTCTATGGGGAAAAAAAAGATGTTTCAAATTTTCAATGATACCAAGCTACTCATTTTCATAAAAGCCCATCTTTTTAACATCAATATTCTCCTTGTAATGCTTTATGACCAAAAATAAGGGAACATTCCATTTCAGAAGAACTAAAACTGAAGGTGATCTGCAAAGCCATGAAAAAAATACATAAAGGATTTAAGTAGGTTTCAGCATTATTACCAACAATTACTTCTACACACACACAATATATATAATATGTATACACACACATACATAGTATAAATATACATATACATGTGTATATATGTATATATGGATGTATTTATATATATACACACATACACACATGTGTGTTTGTGTGTGTGTGTGTGTGTGTTTGTAATGATATGGCCAAAGATACATGACAGGAAAATGAGGCAGTTTGGTTATGTTGTCAGATGAGGGATGAAAGACAGACAGACAAGTACAATAGTTTCCAGGATATATTTAAAAGAGCCAGAAGAAAATCTCCATTGTAATTTAAGAAAGACACAAGCAAAAATTGTACATACAGGATGAAACAGTGTGGTTGGTTTGTAATACACAGTAAGAAAAAGAAGAAGTGTTCACATCAAAGAGATCACAGATAAGAAGTAATCATGCAAGGCAATGGGTTAGATGTTATTGGGAACAGCACAATGAATACTATTGGTCTCATGCCCTTAAAGAGCTAGCAAACTATGAAACATCCAAGAGATCGAGCCAAGGAGCAAAGTAAACAAAACCAGGAGAATATACACAACTTCAGGCAGAGAGATGGAAAGAGACTACAGGATTTAAATGTTATATATGCTTGTCAGATCATGGTTTTGTGGTTGATCTTACTTAAATGACTTTCTGTGTTACACAAAAGGGTTCAATGGGAGAAAGGATAATAATATACATGGAAAAGATTTTTTTAAAGTATCAATTAAGTTCTTTTTTTAAAAGACAGAAGTTAAATTGAGGGGATGCCCATCAATTGGGGAACGG